GATAGAGTTTAAAGAGCATTGCGATGTCATCAGCACCTCTATATATACCTTCTCTCAAGGGTCAAGATCCGAGATCTGATAAAAGTATTACCATTCTCCTTTATGGTTTTAAAAGTAAGACAAGATAAAACGATATGTTTCAAAAGATATTTTATCGCTAATTGATTACACTATGTTGAACTTATTTTTCGGTCAAAAGTCTTTTTGGAAATAATATCTATACCTTCCCAAAATTTATACTTTCATATTTAAGTTTTCTAATTTTAATTTGTGTGAATAGCTCCAGACATAGACTTGTTCGAATAAAAAATTTGGGACTAGTCATTCTTGGGTTCTCAAATAAATACTTATGGTTCGAGGACTAACTTTCCAATAGGTTCATTTGGTTCCTTGGAATGGTCAGAATTGCAAGTTTTGGATTGACCTTTGGTGCCATTTGCTCCCTTCATTGTGGCATCTTCCTTATGGTCTCGTCAGTTTGAGAACCTCATGTTTATCTCACAACGGTGTCCCTAACTCATACAATAGAATGGAGACTTGGTGGACTGGCTTGGAAGTGTATAATAACATCAAAAACTTGAGGCCTTAGGTGAGATGGCACAATATAATCTGGTCTAAGACTAAGAGAGGAATCCCACAACATAAAACTCTAACCTAGCTGGCTGGTATATATTGCACAACCCGTGTCCGATTAGCGATATGCTGATTTTGGGGATTGAACTCAGTTCCTCATTGCCTTCTCTGCTATCAGGGAATCAAGTCCCGTAATCACCTTTTCTTTGAGTGCCATTTCTCCGCTTTGGTTTGGTATTCACTTGCTTAAAAGCTTCCACTGCAGCTATAATCAACGGTATGGGAAGTTACTATTGAAGCTTTCGTATCCTTCCCATGACCAAACCTTCTTCGTTATCTAACTCTCCTCACCTGGAAATCTTCGATCTACGAGATTTAGAGAGAAATAAATGAACGCCTTCATCACAATGTCTATCGTCCTCCAAATGCTCTTCGATACGACAATCAGAAACCAAATCTCTTCCTTCCGCGAACATAACTCACATGGAGCAAGAAAAATTCTTCAACTTTGGTTCTATAGAAGGATCTAGAAGATCCATAAGATCAATAATATTATTGTCGTAAGACTTGAGATGGCTTATGTTGCATACTTGATGAAGCACGTGGAGTCGGTGCCAAGAAAGACCCGACGATGAGAGAGACGGTGAGACACGTCAAAATCTGCTGGCCACACTCGTAGTGGAGATCCGGTGGATCATTGCGGTGGCGTAGCCGGTGATATTGAAGAAGACGGTATCGGCAGCGCGAACGTTGTGAAAGAAGCACTACGGCTTATAAAAGAAGCTCACAAGCTTGGAGATAGAGATTTATGGTTTTTTTTTTTAATTTAAATAGTTTTGTAGAAAAATCAGAACAAGCAGTTAAATCGGTGAGAAAAAAAAATCCAAAGTAAACCAAGAAAAGCAGATTAATCGAAAGCACTTGACTTTAGAAGCTTAGAGCATCATTATCCCAAATATCCATTTAGGGTCTCTTAGTTATTTTTTTAATATTTTTAAGCAATAAATGTGTGTTAAGAGACTCCGTTCAGAGACCCGAACATTTATGTGCTCAAATGCAAATTTCTTAATTAAGGGTTCTTGAAAAAAAATTATTAGACATTTTTTTTATTAAACTTAAAATTTATTGATTATGACGATTTGGATTCCGTCGAGGAGAGATCAATCACGACGATTTGGATTCGAAACCGACGGATTACACGAAGTCGG